AGGGAGAGGGATAGTAGGAGGGATGAAGAAAGAAAGTTGGAGGGAAAGAAGAAAGGTTTCTGATGCTGCTGCCAACCTTCCACAGGGAAATTCAATAGGCATGGTGGCAGGAATTATTCCCTCTCCCATTGCTTTTTTACCTACCAGTGGTCATTTGGTTTCTCTGTTCAGGTAAAGAAATATCTCTGAAATGATGGCCTAATCTAAAGATCCAAGGTAGGCAGCCCAGTAAACGCTTGTTTATGTCCAGTTGTTTAAGCCTATGAAATAAAACCATATTCCCCTGTCTTCCTAAAAATGAAGGAACTATCTGGATCTTTGTAGGCAAGCTATTCCATGATGATGGACAATCACCTGACTCTGGGCTTTTATCTGCTCATTTTCTGGTGGAAGGACCAAAGGCATCTCTTTGGACACTGAACAGAGGAGAAATAAATAAATAAATAAATTTGCCCAGTCACAGAATCATAGTGTTGGAAAGACCAGATGTAAGAAGACAGGAAGCAGAAGGCACATGGCTTTATTTTCTATATAAAACTTGTTTAATAACCAAGTGATCTAGATAGAATATCTATTGCTTCCAGGGAATGTGTCCCTGGCTTGCTTTTATTAAAGCATAGTTTTTGTTTTTCCGTTATATGTTATTTTCCAAGCGTATCTACTGTTCCAGGTGTTGGTACCTATACCGCCATGCTGCCGGCGTGTCCCTATAGTTCTTTCTCATTCCTACCAAAAAGAAGATAGAAGAAGCAGTTACCTTGCCAGTAACCTCAAATGCTTGAAGCCAAGGTCTTGGCCTTTATTTAGCTTTTCACACTTAAATTTGCATGCTGTGCCCCAGAGATGCACTAATGAGGGAAACTGGTAGGTTTCTACAAGTCAGGCCTTCAATGGGAAGTATGTCCTGCAATCCGTGAAAAGTGGAATAGGGAGACACGGCTGGGAATTGCTAATTACAGCTATATAGAGCATCAGTAAGCAAGCAAATTGTTGGCAATGTCATGGAAGATCAGGCGGGTGCTAGAAATGTCAGTGTCGGACCTTGATTAATCAAAGCAAAGATGGATAAGAAACATCAGTTGGATGTGAGGAGGAATAGATGCCCCAAGGTTGAGGACCTGTAGTTGAGAAAAATAGGAAAGAGGAATGGATAGTATGGCGGGAAAGAGGGAACCATGGATGGGAAAACCAGAGATAGTGGCAGGCCAGGGTTTTCTTGTGGCTGATGAAAATTGCAAGTTGGTTTGATGGGATGGAAGGGAAAAAAAAAATGAAAACAATTAATAGAGAAGCTGGAAAAGAAAGAAAAATCGTTGAAAAGAATACCTTCCCTTTTTCACCTGTCAAAGCATAGTGCCGGCAAAGTTGCTTTGTTCCTAATTCTGCGTTGCTGCTATTCCAACATGTAGCAGTGGGTTTTTTCTACACATTTTGCATGTAATACTTGTGCTTAAGTTTTTTTTATTATCTTAGTTCTACAATGTTCAGAGATATCTATGTTGTCCATGGAGAAGTTTAATGAAGTGGGCTCTGAGAATATTGTCTTTGACTGGGCTTGTTATGGGCATATGGTGTAGTTTCGACAGTTTTGGTAAAAGCAAAATGTGTTTGAAGCCTAACTGGACAGCTGCCTCTTCTTACTGCCAGAAACATAATGGAAGCAACTTAGGGTGAAAAACACCATGCTCATTAAGAGTTTCAATTTCTTAATTTTCTCGGTTTGATGAGAAACAGATGCTGATTTTCAAGAGATATCTAAATAGATTCTCCCCAGAGTGTTTTTATAGTTGGAGTTGTAAATTGTAAAAATAGTTCAGAATGAACCAAAACCTAACTATGCACGTTCTGTCTTCAATGCAAAGACTTAGGATTTTACAGATATAAATTAAAAAAAATTTTTTTTTTAAATAATTTGAATAGGCTACTTGATAGAATGGGATTCATAATGTAAGATTCACCTGGCACAAATACATGGTATGCTGACCTTCAGGAAAGAAATGGCAGATGGATAAAAGGTTCAGTGTAAAGTGGAGCTGACAAGCATGACAGAATAAAGAGCTGGTGAATAGTCCTGCTGGTTGATAATTTCTTTCTGGACAAAGAAAGGACTTGAGATTATCCACAAGTGCTCCAGACAGTTGCTCCTTGTGAGGAGATTGCAAGACAGTAGACCAGTGGTTCTCAACCTTTTTAATGCCGCGACCCCCAACCGGTCGTAAGTCGAGGACTAAACCGGTCGTAAGTTGAGGACTACCCAACCGGTCGTAAGTCGAGGACTTTCCCTGCCCGGGAGCGCCGCGCATGCGTGGTCCCGCCCCCTGCACCGGCCGAGGTGTAGCTGGCAAGCGGCAGAGACGGAGCAGGCTGACCACCAGCTGGCTCAGCCCAAGGGAGGTAAGGCACCCGCCGGAAAAGGGGAAAAAATGGCGGACAAAAAAAATGGCGGACAGCCTTGCTTGGCGACCCCCGTGAAATGGTTGATTGACCCCAAATGGGGTCCCGACCCACAGGTTGAGAACCACTGCAGTAGACTCTCATGGGTTTAGAGCTCTCAGAGATGAGAGAATAGCCATCTCCCTCAACCTGCAGTTGTATCTTTGAAAGGACACTAACTTTGCATATTTCCTTTCCTGGTCACTTTCAGAAATTGGTTGTTATTTATTTATTTATTAAAAATTTATATGGCCACTCAACCAATATACAAGTCACACCATACAGTGCCCCCTGCCCCTCCCCCCAGGGTAGCAACAACACAATTAAATCAGCCACTTGATCAATTCTATTTCCATTTGTGGGCCCCAGGTCCATTGACAAAACTACATCTTCGGGGCCTTTTAGGAAAGGTAGTGGCCAATTGTACCTTTGGTGAAATGATATTCCATAGAGAAGAGGCCACCACCAGAAAGGTCTTTTTTGTAGTCCCATAATAGATTAAACCTAATAAATGTGAACTGCTTTTTAGCTATTACAGTAGGAATAGCTATTGGATCAACAAGTTTGACAGCACTAGGTGAGTCTCCTTCAATCCTTAGTGAAATAAGTTTTAAATATATGTTTAAGGACTAAAAACAACAACAAAACAAATTCACGGTATACTCAGAGGAATAATAAAGCAGGAAGGATTGACCTGTATGAAGCGTTTAAGTATAAATGCAACAATTTCTGCAGACCTCTGTTTATAATGTTCAGCCAGATACAGTTGGTTCTAAATGAAGCTGAAAACATTGGTGCAGAAGTCTGTAGTACCTTCAGCTTATTTGTATATTATGCCAAATATCTACTGCTGTTCTAAAAGTATAGCCTTTGAATGAAATGCTCGATGAACTGCTGTCTGAATAAAACAAATTGTTTTGTTTATTTTATGTTCACAATGCTAACATACAGAATCCTGGAAAATCAGACTAATACGAAAAATAAAACAGCTTTAATAATGCAGAGCTCATTTTAATTTTGCTGTGGAAAGGCACAAATCCTCTTTTCTCTTGCAGTGCAATATCTTGTACATGTTTTGAGCTATGTGCTGTAGTATTAGTGGATTGGAAGGTAGCAGTCATATATTAATCACTTTGGAACTCAAAAATTTGCTTCACTGTAACAAAACTGGAGAATATGAGAACTTGAATGCTGAATGCACGGTTAATATGTGCATATGTGAATGCCAGTTGTTAGAACTGACATTCTGTTTTCTAATCTGATACCACTTGGGATTTTCTAAATCATTGCACTTAACCTTTCATCAGATTTCCTGGGTGAGCTGGAGCAATGACAGAGCCGTCTCTTCAGTAACTGAGCAATTCAGAGATTAGACATTTTAAATGTTCAAAAAGGTTTATTAAAACATTGTGTTCTCACTTTATAAACTTCTGCCTTTGGGTGTGGTTTACACTATTACAGAACATGTACTTCTACACGTGTTCTTATGATTATGTACAGTCTGATGGGATGAATTTTACGGTTTGGCTCTTCATTCTGAAGCTTTACATCATTTATTATACCTCATCCTGATGTTTGCCGAAGTTGTTATGAGTTGAATATTTTATGACTTTAAAATTCTCTACTGTCAAAGAAATAATGACTGCAACATTTCTATGTATGAAAAAGTCTGTACATAACCCTGGTTTCAGGGTAGTCAATACTTAGACTGAAATATGATTATTTTAGATGTTTTGGTCCATATACAGAGTGGAATTGAGTTATTTGTTCTGAATATGACCAAAATGTTTTGAGCAGAAATGCCATGTTGGGAGCTTCTTCCTTACTATCGAGACCATTGTAAGAAGAAATGGTTGCACAGGCCAGTGGTAGCAGTGGTTGATGAGAGGGAGGGAAAGAAGTGAGAATACTGTGAAGATGGGGTGACACCCAGGTCATGGGAAGGTGGAAGGGATACAGAGAGTGACACATTTCATTGTTCTGCTTGATCCAAATGATCATTCTGGGGTGCCCGCAGATTTTGTTTTGGCCAAATTGTGGTCAGAATGAAGATTCAGCAGAATTGCTGGGCTACAATGACTTTTTTTGGTTTTGAAACTATTTTACATGTCAGGCACACCCATAATCGCATTCCAATAAAGTGGTAAGTCATAGTTTCCACATGACAAGCCCAGTCTACAGTGAGCTTTAGAGCTGTGATCCACATGAACTATGGGATGTTGAAATGATCCTGGTCCATAAAATAGCATTTGGTTAGTTTATTTGGTCTAAATAATTACCATTCATTATTTAGGATGACAAGATGATGCTCTGCTAAGTAAAACTAAGCAAAAGCCTCCACAATATGGGAACAGAGTGAAAGTATGTGTACATGAAGCTTGCTGCTACTCAATTATATTAGACTATGTGCTACTTTTTATCATTTTCATGCATGTCTTCCTTTTTAACCCTTAATATCTTTTTTAATCATATAATTTTCACACTTCTGTAGAGTTAATCTATTTATTCAGGTACAGTTGCCTTAAAAGAACTGTCAATGAATATTAAAAATACGACAATTATTTTAGCTTCCAGAAACTGAAAAGCTGAACATGGCAGACAAACTAATCAATGCAACACCTGGAATTGGTGTCAATGAACTGAAAAATAATGTCTTCTATAAGGTAAGCGAGCAGATGACATCTGTGATGATAAGTTACAATTCTCTATCGTTCTCTTCTCTTTTTCTATTCAAAACAGCAATGTTGTTGTTTCATATGCCGATTCTTTCTTTTTGCATAAAATATGGGCCTCCAAGGATATGGGTGGTTGATTTACAGGTAGTCCTCAAGTTATAACAGCAAATGGGACTGGAATTTCCATTGCTAAACAATGTTGTTGAAAAGCTCAACATCATGTGATCACATTGCTTAGTGATAGCAATCCCTGCAGTCTTCGTTGCCATCATTAATCAAATTTCGCCAGTCATTAGCCAAGAACCCACCCCATTCCAAGCCATTCCCAGCTTAGTCCCTCCCAGTTCTAAACCTCGGTCCTTCCAAGGAAAGTAACTGCCTCCCCTTCAACCTACAGGGCAGGTATAAGAGAACACCAATAGCAGAACGGGTATGTATATGTGGTAAAGGAGAAGTCGAAGATATCTCACATGTTTTATTGTACTGTGAGCTATACCAAGTTTATAGGACAGTATATATTCTCCCCTTATTAGAGAGATTGCCAGGGAGGGCAGACAATTTTTATGTAGGCTTTCTCCTCCAAGACTCANAGACTCAAACCCTTCTATCACGCATGCAGTGGCAAAATACTGTGTTGCGGCAATGTCCACAAGAAAAAAATTGGTTACAGATCTATAGTCGTCAACTTGTGCCAATTTTTGGGAGATATCTCTAATAATGTTTGGAACATTATATTTACTCACACATTAATCGGCTATCCACTCACGTAAACTAGGGAGTGACCCTAACGTTTTGAGAACATGTATTTTCTTAACAGGGATGTTATTATTTACTATTAATGTTAGTACTATTTTTACTATTATTATTATTATTATTTAATATATTGTAAAAAGTGATGGCTATTGCTGGTCTACAACCGTAATAAAGTTTATTATAACAGGTAAGGACTGTTGCCTCCCCTTCAACTCCCCCCAACTGCCTCTTCCCTCTATCTACGCCCTTTTGGCCAACCTGCTCCCTGCCTTATAGGGCAGCAAGAGTCCCAGAATCTCGCAGCTTGGTGGCTGGTTGCAAAGCTGTGGTGCAGGGGCTTCTTGGCATGCCGCAGCTCTAAGGCTGTAAGAAACCTCTCAGCCTCTGTACAGCATGAAGCCGCAGCCACCGTGGAAAGCTGCAGCCACCCTGACCCAGCAGCGCAGCATGAAACTGTAACTGCCCTGTGAAGCCGCAGCTGCATCAGCCTGGATCAGCCCAGCAATGGGAGCAAGAAGATGGCAAAAGTCAGCTGGGATGGCAGAGCACAAGGCGGCTGGGCCTGCGGAGTACAGGAGGCCAAAAGGGCACAGGCAGTGGGAGATAGGCAGGTAGGGAGAGTTGAAGCACCGCTGCAGTCATACGTGCAGGCGGGCAGCCAAGCAGCCAGGTTTTGGTCATGTGACTGATGACTGTAATGGCTGTAACTTCAGGAACCATTTGTTCAGTGCTGCTGTAACTTTCAATGGTTGCTGAATGAATTGTCAGGTGCAAAGGATCAGGACCACACCTTCAATTTCAGTTCAGAAGATTTATTATTCAAGCCCACACATAAGCATCTAGTGAACTAATGGTCAGCTTTAAATGGTCAGTGCTAGATAAGGGTCAACTGAATTCAAGAGAGGCTGGATGTGGATTCTTTGTGGCAATGTAACAGTTCCAAAGGGATGACACAATTAACTCCACCCTCCAGCTCTACCTGCTCTTCTATATAAGTGGTCAAAACTCAAGGACTACTTGTACTGATCTATATCCT